CTTTGTCCTTGAGATGTGAAACTCCGCGCAGAAACCTCCGACCTCTCCTCCTCCAGACTCCACCTAGGGTTTAGGGTTTAGGGTTTAGGGTTCAGGGTTCAGGGTTTAGGGTGAAGGGTTTAGGGTTCAGGGTTTAGGCTTTAGGGTGGGTTTAGGGTTCAGGGTTCAGGGTTTCAGGGTTCAGGGTTTATGGGTACATAGCAAGCCTTCGAGACCCCTTTGTTAAAAAGGAAACCCTCAAATGAACCCTGTTCGAACTATTTAAGTGAAGCCACGTGAGCATGGCCAGGAAGTCATGGAGGAGGAAGACGGGGCGTCCAGCAGACGCGACATCCATGGCAACGACTGGAAGGTGTTGCTCATTCCGCATGAGGGCCGGAGCAGGGATGCAATCATTGAGGCCGAGTGGGGCAGTAACAAATGCAAGGTGGTAAACAAAATCAAACACAGCTACGTTTATTGCCGTTGCAAAGATGCCGGCACCTGTCCAATGGTTGTGAAATACACCATGGAGGACCGGGTGGTCAGAAGGGAGAGCAAATTCGAACATCCATTGCCCAAAACTCTTCTAGACACAGTTCGGGAAGTGGCGCAAGAGCCCGGGACTGCAGCTGCATCCCTCGTGGCGTGGTCGCAGGAGAACCCCGATGCAGCCGAATCGGCCATTCCCAAACGAATCCAAGTGAGCAGAAAGAAAGCACAAGACAGGGTGCGGCAACTGGAGGACAGCACACGAGAGGTGCAGGCGTTGATTTCCCATCTTCGCCAACGCGACCGCAACAAGGAGTGGCAACTACAAATCCTCGGCGAGGACATGGAGCAAGGGCTGGTGTGCTTTTCTTCGGGTTTCTACGCGGCTCGCATGCGATGCCACCCATGACATCTCCAACTCCAAAGTCAAACTTTTTGCTCTTGGCTGGTTGGCACAGCATGCCGAGAACCACATGGTCCGCAACACATTTGTGCGCCACGCCTTTGCCGTGGCTGTGTCAGAAAGCAGCGTTGCAACCAAATTCCTGTTAGCGAGCGCAGACAGCTTTCTCAAAGACAAATGTGGGACCACATCGAAGAATGCCAAAGTTGCTCATTTGGATGGGGGAACAGGCTTGGTGAAAGGTTTCCAAGAGTACTTTGGGTCAACCCTGCCCTTGGTCCGGAGCATGGAGCATGTCAAGAGGAACATCAACAAGGAGGGCGTGAAGAAGTTGAAGCACACGAGGTGGTGGGTGACAGTGTAACGGTGGGTGGCTTTCAGTGCTTTCTTGCGCAATGGTTGTGTGTTTGATCGATACTGGCATCATGCACTGGCCATTCTTCGCCGGCATGACGAAAGTGCCTTCGAATCATACATGGAGCAACATATATTGCGGAAATCCGGAGGGCCCTAGGTTAGGGTTCTGGGCTGGCACAAGGTGGGGTTCAAGGTTTAGGGTTTTAGGGTTTAAGGTTTAGGGTTTAGGGGTTCAGGGTTTAGGGTTTCAGGGTTTAGGGTGTTTAGGGTGTTTAGGGTTTAGGCGACGTGTGCGGAGTGCTTGAGCCTTGAGCCCTTAGAGATCTGAGGCACAAAGGTTTAGAGTTTGGGGCACTGTAGGCTGAGGCTCATGCCCTACCCCTCGTTTTGGGTGTGCCTACTTTTCTATTATCACAGATCCTAACTATAAGACTATAGTACCGCAAAAAAACAAAAGGGGCAGGGTATGCCCCTCCAGGTAGTGTTCAGGGCCAGAGCTTCTTCATCTGTTCGCTTCCAAGCCATCAAAGAAAAGTCTGGTTTGAGTACCCTCGGAGACAAGTACACAGCACCTAGAATTCAGGAATCTGTTCCGAAGAGTCCTATACATACACACGCACGTCCAGCCCTGATAGAAGCCCTACGCCGTTTGAAGCCTGAACTCGCGACCTTCGTTGATGTCACCTTCGCTTGTGTTTGTACTTGATTGGGCTGCAGTTTTCTGGGACGTTTACCGGCTCCATGACCCCCAGTGTAGCTTTCAAGGTAGCAAGGAAGCTTTCGTGCAAATTCCCCTTACCCGAATAGAAGCCCCTTAACCCTAGGTTCTTGGGGTGTTTTTTGCCGTAACCTGTTTCCTTTCCTGGACCAGGAAGCCAGCGACTGTGGCAACGCCTTTGCCTGGGTGACTTCCTTGCAGAGACGTGCTAATGTTGCGGTGATGAAAGTTTACCCGTCGCATCAAGATAACCCACATGCCTTATATAACAGGGTCTTTGGGCCCAAAAGCCTTAAGATATGAGTACTTTGAGGGCAAGGGTTAGGGTCTATAGGTTGTAGAGTTCACGGTTCAGCGCAGGGTCGGAGTTGTTGTCAGGTTTGGCGGCATCCGTTGCACCAGGTTTGATGCAGAATTAACATAAGGGTGTTTTCTACACGGAAACAGTCCGCAACCAGAGCCTGTATGCGTCCCATACAAACTGCGACAGAACCTCCAAACCATGTGAATTACAATTCCTAGGAGTACTTGTGTCCCTGGTTTATAGCAACAAGATGCTTCGGAGAGGTCTTGTGGCGGGCAGTGAGGCTTCCTTTTACACCTCGCTGCCCCTGAGCCCCGAACATTGCAATCCTAAACTCTGAACCCCACCTGAATTCTATACAGCCTATGTCCCTTTCTGGGGTTTCTTATTGTGGTGTCTTACATGTTTGCAGTTCCTGTATACCCTAAAGCCGTAAAGCCCTAAATCCTAAACCCTAAAGCACCGCCTAAGTTGCTATCGAAGCTTCGAAGCAAGCTCGTCCTTACCCAAAGGCAGGGATGAGATGATGCCCTTCAATCACCATTCTCGCTACTGTTATGATCACGGCTAGTACTAACACAAAAACTTTCTGTATACACAGAATCGCAGGTAGATAGATATAGATAGCTAGGTATAGACAGATACAACAGAGAGAAAGATAGATCGATACAGATAGAAAGCGACAGATAGACGGGTAGACGCAGAGAGAAGAGGGAGCGAGAGAGAGATAGTTCACAACAAATGAAGAAACGTAGATTAAGCCCCAACTCTCGAAGCCGTGCGCCGAAAAGTTGTAGCTGCCAAGTGCTAGAGCCGAGAAGTCGTACGACTCGGGTTCTTAGAGCCGAAAGTATAGTGGTTCCGGACTCGCTCTGTAGTTTATAGCTTAAGCCAAAAGAAAATTACGAGCCTTATACAACCCTACAGCAACTCAACCCTAAACCCTAAACCGAATTCGTGCTTAGGAGCCATTTCTCGATGCCTGTCAACGAGGGCTGCTCAAGGAGTGGGTTAAGGCCTTCGAGGGAGCACTAGGAGTGGTAGGATTTAGGGCTTAAGACTTAGCAAGTTGGGTTATGGCGTTGGTGTCTACGGTTTGAGCGTTGGGGTTTAGGGTCTCTGGCTTAGGAATCTAAGAGATGGGGTCTATTGCAATGTACCCTTGGAAGAATCATCGGCAACACAGCAGCAGTAGCTATCCACATAAGGGCAATGAGTAGCGACAGCTTTTGTAACCTCAGCAGTCATTTGTCGCAAAACGACAACCCTGATGTACACAACAATTTGTAGCAGCAGTAGTAATGGGAAGTAGTAGTAGTAGTAGTAGTAGTAGTAGTATTGGCATTGGGGACGTCGCACTGGTTCGAAGTGCTGGACGAATGAGGACAAGTGCATATGCACCCGGCCACTCTTCTGGCGGCATTGCTCAGATGGCAATTCCTAGGTCATACAAAGATTGCTGTAGCTATGTGAAGCTTGCAGCATGAGAGCTAATCCATGGCATCCAAAACTAGCGGCTCAGCAGATCCACATTCCGCATACTCAGAGGGCTCACATCCAGTCGCAGCGGTCGCTCCACTCACGTCTGGGCTCAGAGTATTTCCAGGCCGCTCCACGGAAGATGAGGAACCTCCACCCGCAGTCGTACTGGTGCGGGTGCCAGCAGCAGACGCATGCGCTGATGCATCATCTTCCATGCCGCGCACTTGCACCACTGACTGACGTTCATGGCAGGCATCCGTGTGGTCGGCTCCTCTGCGCCATACGCACAGTGTGCAGCAGTGAAGGTGTGTGAGGCCAGCTGCGCGCTGGCAGCCCGAGGTGACACACGTACTGATCCTGGCTCGGAGCGGTTGCATCTGTACTTTGATCCATGCACGATCACATCTTTCCGTATGCAGTCCAATGGAGCAGTGGCCGCAGCAATGTGAATGTTTACCATTGCTGTAGCTTCGATCACAGCCAGGCGTTGCGCAGGCACGAAGTTCAGCGCCTCCATGCGGTGCACTTCGGCGACGATGGCGACGCCCTCGTCCAAAGGAGTGGATCCCGGCTGCACCACCTGGAGCAGGCGCTGAGTACGTCGTGTTGGTCGTAGCAGTGCTGGTCGGACCTGGCTTAGGAAAAACAGCAGAAGCTGCAGCGTCAGAGCTGTCATTGGCCCCGCCAATGGCTTCGCCCGGAGCCGCCACCCGCATAGTTGCAGCCATGTGGACCTGAGCATGAGGTTAGGGGTATGGGTTATTGGGGAGACTGGAGCGGAGCAGGCTGCAGGTCGCAGCAGCGCTAGCGGAAGCACTTGCATCTTTTCCACTGGAGTTGGCTTCCCTCTTGCCGCAGAGGGCTGTGCCTCCATGGGCGTGTCAGCATGTGTACCCCACACATGTTCAGAACAGACGCGGCAAGGCTGAGAGGATCTAGTAGCTAGCAATCATCCTCGGGCAAACAGTAAACTCCCATTCAGGCAGCATTCGGCTGGCCCACTGGCCCATTCACTCGGCGAATGCCGCCACCCTCGGTTACGACTCAGAAACAAGCATTGCACCCTACGAGGGACAGGGGCAGGTCTACCCTAATCGGGACAGGAATGGGAAATGGCAGGGCTCAGTTGATGACATCCAGGTGCTGGTTGCACGTCGGTGCAGTAGGCTCGTCAGGCACTACGAAGCCCAGCTTCTCTAGCGTGGGGCCGAAGCGACGCATGGCACACGCGTGCTG